AATAAAAATATAAATAAATTACAATCATTGTAATAGAGATGATTTTATTTTTGGTTCACTTTAGAGGTTTCAGTCAAACAACTGACATGCAATGTGCTTATGGGTGTATTCAACCCCCGAGTGAGGAAAACCCCTGAATCTGTGCAGCAAATGATACCCTTTGTCTGCAGGTGCAGCTCAAATAAAGAAAACTCTCCATAAGCTTAAAGGACTGCCAAATATTAGTCAACACAGTGTCAGATATAACAACAGAAAAGGCACACATGCAATGTTAAGTGAACCCATTTTGAGTTTCCTTAACGTCTGTCACATATACACTCTGGTACAATATTTGATGCTCATATTAAACCTTGTCACAGTTTCCAGTAACGAGATGAGGATGTGCACAAGTATATCATGCAAACTAAAAGCTCTGGTTTCAGACTGCTCTAAACACTGTCAGGGAATTTTTTTGCTCTTGGTGTTAACGTAATCAGATATCACTTATATTATCTCATGCTGTATCCAGCTGTACAGAGACGATGCATGATAAGAAAACTGCTAGGCCAGCCCTAAAGTCACTTTGTGCCTCACAGTCCAGAAATGTTAACGAAAACTTTGCACAAAAGGTTCAGGGAGGAGTTTAGCAGTTACAAAATATCTGCAGCACAAAACAAAACAGGAAGTGAGGATGAGTCGGCAGAAATCAAACCTGATGAAATAGATACTAGCGCCAAAAGGGCCTCTTGATACTCACTCTGCTATGTCTAGGTATCCACAGGAAGCTGCAGCGTGGAGTGGGATCCAGCCCTCGTTATCAGGCTGGTTGATGCAGGCTCCATGCTCCACCAGGAAAGTCACCATGTCGACATTGTCATCTATGCATGCCTGAGACAGGGGAGAAAACGAGTAAGGCCACAACTTCTTGACTGTGTTGAACTAAGTGCACTTGGGTACATGCACACATGCTTGAGTGCTTATGTCAGTGGGGTGGCCTGTGCTCTAGTTGCATCTCTCATGGAAAGGGCATTACACCCCCGATTGGTTGCCATGTGCATTGCTGGGAGATTTTGGCAGCTGAAGCATTCTCAAAACATTCACACATAGCAGGGGTGCTAGAAATACCACATAGCATAGTACTGCTGACAGAGGCACTGGGGTGCTGTGCATATATTTGCTGCTACTTTATCCTGAGAGTTATATAGTGTAGAAACGCAAAACCTGAAAAAAAGGTTAGCTGTGCTATACATCTTCAAGTACAGAGCTGTCAAAAAAAAAAAAAAAAAGGATTTTGAATGCATAAACTATTTAATTATCATTATTTGCAGTAATAATACAGAGACACCAGCTGTGCTTTGTTGCTCTAAACCTCAACTTGACAAACTGCAGTGCCCACATATTCCCACCTCCTCCCACTTACAGTGCTATCACCACCTTCATGTCAGTCTTGTTTTTATGACAAATAAACAGGGCCTTGAGAAAAAAATAAATAAAAAGGCATTCATTTAATTTTTTGAAAGCCCTGTTTTTGCAGCGTCTAAAGTTAGAAAGTTTAGTATTGTGACAAATCAGTAAGTCTCAGTAATTGAAACCACAAAAACTACACATGCACAAACACAAAGTACATTCTCTTCATACTAAGAAGATGAAGAATTCTTCAAATCAACATCTGTGTGGAAAGAAAATTTAATGCCTCTAATTGCCAGCACTCAATCCAATCATTAGGGTTTTGCCATGCTTTAGTGCTGGTGACAGACAGGATGCCTGTTTCTTGTTTACAGACAGGAGGGAGGATGTCCTTAACAGGTATGCAAGTTGGGGTGAGGGGAAATTGGAGAACCCAACAAGTAAAACCAGAAGGATTTCACATTAAAAGAACTCTGTTCCGCTTAGAGGCCGAGCTTAGAACAGACTTTCTAGGCTGGGTGAAGATACCAGAGGGAGACTGTGCACAAACCCATCCTAAATATAGTTTGACTCTGAACATCAAAAGACCACAAACACTCCAAATGAAGCATATTACTGTGCAGCACACAAGGAGACCACCCACTAAAATAGGAGGACAAAGAACATATTACAGAGTGTCCCTAAACAAGATCAGGAGCACAAAGACTGCTTTAGAATTTATATGAGCGGCTTTGCAGTTAGTGTTCATCATAGACCAGTATGATGCTTCTACAGCAGTGGTAATATTGAACCTCTCTCTGGAAGGCCCCACCAAACTAAACTACCCAAATGACACAATTAAAATGAAAGTAACACAGAGGAGATTAATTTAAGATCCTCTGACTCATGAAGTGGGAGGTATAGTGACTTTGCTTAGATTATGAAGGCAAACTTGCACCATGATAGGAACAAATTTGCATTTTTTATTTGTTAGTCAAGTACTCATTTTATGTAGAAAAGGAAATTTACATTTCTGAAAGCCGAATTTCCTTTTCATTAGAAGGGAAACCACTGTTTAAGGCCTGCCAATTTTATTCTGCATCCATGATAGCTTTCACGAGTTTTCTAAGCAGTAAAATACTGCTCATTTTGTTTGTTTTCTTGTGAATTTCAGAACTCGCATTTGTTCACTGCCCTTCCAGGGGTGCATGCTAGAAGCATGAGTGTTTAAATCCACAACCACATGTAATTTTCATTATGCTAATGCATCTTCCTTGCTTCCTTCATTTTGCATCTCTTCCTTACATCTGAGATCCTTAAGAGCTGGAACTGAAAATTTCAAACTATTGCCTCCTTATTGCCCATTTACAGTAACATCAGTTACACACACATATTAAGTGAATTATTACTGTCGCTGTGTATATTCATTCAAGTTTCCCCTTTTCAAACTCATTTAAGTATGGTCCAAGCTCTACAAGGAGTTGTTTTTCTTTTTTTTGCTCTCTCTGCATGTTTAAGTACCAAAATAATATAGATTTTTTTAGGCCATAACCTAAATATTATAAATTGTGTACAATTCATTTATCAAAAGGCTGAGAGAGGAAAAAGAAGCTGTCGAAATCCAAATCAGGAAGTTAATAAAAGCAGAAGAAAAGAGTATAAAGTGCACTTTTCATTCAGTGCACACAAAGGGCCTGAGGTTAAATAATGTCTCACATCAAACATGAGGTGACATGTAAAGCAGGGGTCATAAATAAAGTCATGAAGTTGGAGTGCAAAAAACGTAAAAATAAAAAAATGTAGCTGTAGATTTCCTAACAAAATGCTCAACTTTTAAATGATTGTAGTAAATACTTGAGATAAACATTTGAAATCCACAATTACCACTTGCGCAATATATATTTAAAAAAAACAACAAAAAAACCCCAAAACCTCAAACTCATATTTGAACACAGTCAGGCCATCTCCTGTAGTTGCTATGGCAACAAAAATGTGGACAAGGGAAACAGACACATGAACACACGGCGTCCTCACGTTCAGGGCAAACCGCTATCTGGCTGGAATCCTTGTCCAAATTTGGGCCGTTTACAGCACCAGAGCTACAGAGTGCCTGCAGAGGCCTCCCTGAGCTTACTGACCGTGTGAATGAGCGTTTGTGTATGATGATGTCGTAGGGTTTAATGCCCCACCGAGTCCCTGAAGCTGCAAATGGACTTTGATTTAAAGAGATCAACAACAACCAAGGCTGCAACTCCCATCATTAGTACAACAGGTTTATTAGTTTGATGCCATCATCATGGGAGAATTATGTGCCCCTCTGTGTCAACACAAAGCACTGTGTGGTCCCTACGCAGGAGCTGCACTGGCAAAACTGATCAAAAACCATAAACATAAAAAAATAATTTAAAAAATCAAAACCACATATACCATATCCTGTTCATTTCAACGACATACTGCTTGTATAGGTAAATACATCTCAACATAAATATCCTTCATTTAGTTTAGGTTATACAGAATGGGTAATATCACAAATTGTTTTGTTATTCCAGGAAACAATTTACTCCCTAATAGACCAAAGCATGTGCAGTTTTTCTTTATTTTTAACGAACTAAGCTATAATCAATAAGGTAGCTAATGCATGCATTAAGGCTGATATGAAACAAAGTGTCCACTACACATACTGAGGCAAATGGTAAATGGATAGGTACACTTGATCCACTGATTGAACCACTGACTTCCTTTGCCATAGCCACCACTAAAAAAGGACTCAAAGAATTCACATCAGTAGTGCAACATCTATAATAAAAATTGTACAAATAATGCTACTAGTCAAAATTAACTTAACCATAACAATTCCTTATTAAGGTAAACATTAAATAGACCATTTTCCTTAACTAGTCTGAATGATGTCTGATATAAAGCATTGATGACACATGCTTTTACACAGCTACAGAGCCTCAAACTGGAGAAACACTGTCGAGTCATGACCCAAGGCACAAAAGCACACACAGGAGCTAGTGTTGACATTTAGAAAACAGACCAGTGGGGGAGGAGAGAAGACAATTAGGAATTAATTCCTCAACAAGCTTTACTCGAAGTAACAACATCTTAGCTGCACCTCTGTAAGTGACTCAGTCTTAACTTTTGTTTGGGTTTGTTCTCTCCCGAGAGAAGTAGCTGCAGCACCCAAAAAGTGAATACCTTTAACAGCAGTCAGCCCTTCTTTACTCATCCATAAAACGTGAGCTAAGCTAACCTCTGGCTGCGCAAACTACTTTACTATCAAAAATGTTTAAAAAACAAAAAAAACAACTGCTCGCAACTACTGATTGGTCTGTATTACCTAAAGTTATTGAAATTTACGCATTTTACTGTTTTATTGACCCGATTAAAAGATATTAAGTAAAAGTAAATTAAACCCTGCTTTAAAAAAATGAAAAGAAAAATAAGATTAGAAAAAGAAAAAGGATAAGCATTTCTATCAAAATATTGTGATCTTACTTTTGGGGAAGGCAGAAAACCTCACAGTGTCACAGTTTTGTATATGCACGCAATAATACTAATCAGCACAGACAGAAAGCAAATAGACACTGCTCCCATATTTTTCCCCTATAAGGAGGACCAGCTGTAATTTGTCACTTCCAATCACCATCCTTGCTGTGGCCATTTTGCTCTGCGTATCCTCCAGAGATTCATAAAGGAGTCTATTGCTTTGCAGGATTGGAAATAAAGATAAGTGGTCCTTACAGACAGCTGACTGAGTGTTCCTGCATTCCTCAACTAGAGGAAGCCAGGAAGTAATGTCAGCTGTCCAATAGAATGTACTTCAAATTGAAGTAGCCAATCAAGTTTTCCTTCCACATGCAAAACACCACGAGTGATAACAGACATGTAAAGCACAGACAACTGCTAGTCTGCTTTTATTAATCTGACATTTTAATCTGTATTGCAAAAATAAACCACCCAATATAGATTAGTGCTTTTCATTTCCTCGCTCACAGCTGCAAAATGTGCATGTACTTGGCGGCCATCTTTACAGCTTTCTGCTGCTCATCTGAAAACTGTCCCCCATACTTTCATCTAAATCCTCTCGCCTCAGTCATCCCCCACACTTATTATCTCTTCAAAGTCTTTGTCCAAGAATGGAAACAAGCCCCTTAAGGTGAATGCACTGGTGGCTGCGACCTCCCTCTTCAGTGCGTCACCAGCCTTCCTTCACAGGCTCCCACCAGGAGCCCAACAAAGGTAATCCCTTAATAGCTGTAATTTTCTGTGGTTGACAGGTGCCATACTAACAGCCTGAATCAAAAGTATGCTAGAATAGGAGCCCCAAGAATGGGCTTAAATTAGTGGATATAAGAGTTTAATAAACTCGTAAGTCATTTTTTTAATTTTTTATTTGTAAGAAAATAGGATGTTGCACCAGTGCTAGGCTCATCTTTGACCCAGGCCTATTAAATTATACTAGATAATGCTGCTATGCATGTACTACCAAAGTGCAG